TCACAAAGCAAAGCTGGGCAGACCGTATAGGGTGGCTCAGTGTTATGTACCAATAGGCCCCCAAAACCCGGGACTCATGAGCAGCACTGTGCACGCAGCCCAACACCCTCTGTGTGCTCAGATATGTGCCAGGAGTAGAGATAGGGGCAGGAACAAAAAAGTCCCAAAGCCTTTGAGTCAGGGGTGTGACCTTGGGCTCCCGGCTGCTGATGTGGGGGTCTGATGGGGACAGATCATGCTTTGTGTCCTGGTTCTTAGACTCTCCCTCTAAAGCACTGGCTACTTGCTGCTGTCAGATATGGGTTGGCCCAGGCCGGTGCTCCCATCCAGAGTGGCTGTTCTCCAAGCAATCAGTCACGCCTTGCAAATTTGCTAATTTTGTACAAATATCACTTGTCACGTAGAACAGGCAGAGGAGGAGGAAGTTGCCCTGCAACACATACAACAGAGCCTGAGCCTTTTCTAACCAACAGCTGGCATTCTACAAAGAGAGCACTCAAATTCACCCACTTCTGGGGTGGAATGGACATGCTCTTTAAAAGCAGCGCTGCACAGAGAGAGCTTGCCCACTGGGGTTTTTTTGCACCCACCTGTAGGGTGGAACAAGACAGACATGCCGCCCCCTCTGCAGTGGAAGGAGGCAGCTGATTAACAGCATTTGCAACAGCCTGGGCTGGGCTGGGGAGAAAAATCCCGAATCCCACTGAAACATCCAGAGGTGGGATGCAGATAAATCACGGGGAGAGTTATCTTGGGATTCCAGGCTAATGTCCTTTAGCTACAAATGATCTTTTAATAACTGGGAAACAGACTCCATACATGGTCTCCTCTGAAGACAGTCTGCAGGGAGCCATCTCATGTCTTGTACTTCAAGGCTATAGCAACCAGCCCCGTCTGTGCTGAGGCTTTTTAGTGGATCCTCAGAGCCACTGATCTGCCCTGCGCTCCTAAAACCCGGTCCTAAGAAAGGACACTGGGTGAATGTCCTCTAATTAACCCACTGTACCCCCGAGGAGTGCCAGGTAGCAGAGGCAGACAAGGTTCCTTGGGTGAAGTTGATATCTTTTATTAGACCAACCCAAATAGTTGGAGAAAAGTTACTAAGCAAGCTTTCGGGTTCAAAAACCCTTTTGTCAGGCTAAGGAGGTTTCAGCAGTTGGTGTGTGCTCTTCCTGGATGGTAGAGGGGGTTTCATCCACTACAGTCCAGCCATGGATGGCAGACCACAGGTGACCAGAAGTCACCGCAGGACCTGCTGGCAGGTTTCCAGTGCAGGTCACCGCTGGGCTGCAGAGGAAGGAGCTGGAGGGAGAACCAGGAGCACGCCGGTCTGCACGTGAGCATCCCATGGGCATGATGGAAAAAATACCTACTGAGGCAGAGAGAAGATCAGAGGGAAAAGCTGGTCAGGTCTGGGTCCTTCCTTTCTGTGCTGCGGCCCCGGGGAGGCAGAGCAAGGGGGGAGGAACACAGTGTTTTCTCGCTCTCCATGATTCCAGCTTGCCGGGGTACTACACCCACTGCTGAGCACCCCTGGAGTAGGCCGGCCCTCCTAAATGGACAGGATCCACCAGCACGCCCCTGCCAAGGTCCCCTGCGTGCCAGTCACAGCTCTGACTCCTGGCATTGCTACCACACTGGAAATGCAACAAATCCACCTTGTTTGGGGCACAGATCCCATCCCTTCCCCGCTTGCCCTTCACCTGCTTCTGAGTGGGGAAACCCCTGCTCAGCAGTGACTCTACTTCAGTTCCAGGTTCTTCCCTGCTACAGAAGGAGACATTTCTCTCTGGGGTCACTTTTATCTGCTTTTTCCCTCTCATTTTTAATCAGTCCATTTCCATGAGGACCGTAATCTAGGCCGATGCTGTTCCCTTCATTGTGGGAGCATTCGGTTATACAGCGTGGACCAGTAGAGTCAGTTCCAAGCGGAAGCATCAGCGGATGCATCCTCTTCTAACAAGGCGGGACAGGGACAGGCGGCACTCTGTAGCATGGATCTAACCCGTCACTGCATCGACTTATGCCCAGAAGATTCAGACTTCCGAGCGCTGCATTTAGGCCCATGTTTCTGTTCCATATCTGGCACAAAGGCTCCCCACCAGCCTGCGGGGAAGAGAGCACAGCCACAGCCTGACTGCAATTGTTCTTTAATTGAAGGCATTTACAGAGTACAATGGAGTCCTTCCCGCTGACTGCACCATGCTTTCCGTTTCCAATGGGCTGCCAGAGAGCACCTGAATGAATCACGCCAGGGTGGCAGGACTTCTGGGTTCTGCTTATTCATTTCTTTTGCAACAGCAGCGTCCAAAGGTTTCCATGCAGGATCACAGCCCCGCTGTGACACACATTTGCTGCTCCCAGCCCCGGAAGGGAGTGGTTGCTACAGGGTCAGATTTTAGAGTTGCATCTTGAGCTTTGGGGCTCCAGTCCTGTCCCCTGCAAGGGTCAGGGAGCAATTTCCATGCCCCCCCCCCCC